CATTCTTGTCACCAGGAAACACATCATGATGATAAAACCAGTTAACACTTGTCCCTGTAGGTAGTACTTGAAATTGTTTCCACTTGGATAAAGAATATAAAAAAGATAGTTGAATTTTATTGTGTTTGAGTTTCAGGAGTACATGGAACCTTATTCAAGCAAAAAAAAAAAGACAGCTTTATTTCATAAAACATGTGCCTCTGATAAGCTCTTCATCACTTTTATTTGTGTTAGGTTGTAGGGTAGACATGAGTACTTATAACTATAAAGCTGGCTCTTCACTGACTGTGGACAAGACCCTAGTCTGTGTAGTTTGGCTTCCTCTGTGATGTCATTCAGCAAGTAGCCCTGCCAGTTTGAATTTCTGTAAGAAGACAGGGCCATGTTTTGGTGATTCTCTTGTAAAATAAAGTAAGAGTGCTATAGTTTTGAAGTCATACTTTTTTTTATGACAGAATATCTGTGGCAAACCAGGGGTCCTCTCGCTCTCATTCAGGGGTATGGAATAACCTACAAACAACCTCTTCTATTCAAAGTACCCTTGGAAATCGAAGTTTATCTTAAGTGTTTTGTTGTCTTTGCTAGAATTGCTTGATTTTTAGTTGGTTTTTCTACAATGCTGTGGCAGCCTAATAGTTTATGGAGCTTTCTCTTTTACTGTTTCTTTGGTGTCTTGTAATTTCTGTTTCTGGTCACAAGTTCATAACATAGTTGTTGAGTGATTAAGATTCTTTTGTGTCTGACCCTTGTAAGGAGTTGTTTGAGATACACGAGATTTCTGTGTGAGAACTGATAATTAGGCTCTTGATCTACTTCCCTGAACCGCTCTTATAGAGCTCATATCCCAGGTTCAGGGTAAGGGTCTGTAATACAAAGAAAAACTTCCATCACTTCTTTATTTTTTTTTTTTTCTTCTGCCCTTAAGACTTGCCTCTATTACCTAAGTTTAGTAAGTAGTTTTCTTAATTTTGCCCAATGTTTGGTGTTACCTGCATTATATTTTGTTGTTTTTTAACTGTGGTTGTTCTGATGTGTGAAATTTAAGGAAAGAGCCATTTAAAAAATGCCAAGCAGGGCAATGCAAGTACAGCCAAATATTAGAGTTGATGTGCAATCTTAGGTCCTTTTAATCCGGGGTATTATAGGCAGTACTTTAAATCAAAAAGTCTTCCTGGCCTATTTTCCTCTACGTTTTTATAATTATTCTGGGGGCTTACTTGTTTGGCAGTACTAAAATCAAAGGAGCTGGTTCTTCTTTTCTCCAAATTTCATATTAATGAAAGCGCCTACAGCTAGCCTGTTAATCCTGTTCGTATACATCAAATATCAGTAAATGCATCAATATGAGCACATTTGAGCATCTCTGTTTTACATAAATTTATATGAGTATGAAAACCATTTTATATCCTGTTGAGCTTATAAAATGCCAGTTACTTAGAATTAGGACCCTTCACACACACACGCAAGCGCGCACACACACACACACACACACACACACACAAATCACGAAGGTTGAAATATTAATGCAAGGGTTACCTAAAGGAGGTGGATTTTGTTTTCAGTTATTTGCTAGTATTAGATTCCTCCTATGGGAAAATACTAGCAAGCATCATAAAATTTTCTAAATGCTGGGGAGGGAAAATTCACTGTATTATGAAACCCTAAGGGTTGCTACACTTTTCCTGCCTTTTGGCCTGGATAAGAGTGTCAATAACCTTACTTACAAAATGGCACACTGACTCTGAGAGAAGCTTTTGGGTTCAAGGTTAGTTATAAAGCAGTCATTGAGTGTTCCTTTTTTCTGTGGGAATTTGGCTGGGCTTACTAGGAAAAAAAATGTGCTAATATAAAAACGGCCATACAGTTAGCTTGATTTTTAAAGATGGCAAACTGAGAATTGCATGTTGTTCTGAAATGCAGACTTTAGAATGTTTTTTCTTTCAAAACAGGCTGATTAAATATAGTGTTTCCTGTTGTTTTTCTTTTCCTCACAGTCAAAATTTCAACTCCTGTTTAAAGTTATTACGTCACTTACTTTTCTGGCTTAAATTTCCCTTACATTTCCACCTGTGATGTCAGTGGCAATGACATACTTCACATTAATTTAGTTCTTACCCCTACTATAAGAGCAAGTTGAGTTGAACTGAATCTTCCTTGTCCTAGCAACATTGTATAAATAGTGGCTTCTCTGTACAAAAGGCTGTAATGCCTCCTGATGGATATAATTTTGTGATTGTATTTAAAAGTTGAATAAATCACACCAGCTTCCTGAAAATGTTCATAATGCATCTTTTGGAATTCAAAAATACATGCCTACTTTGCATATTTGCATTAACATGGCAAAGATTGTATGGAATACCTGTTTTTCAAAAAATAAAGGTTCAGTCTTAAAAGATATAGTACGTAAGGTCTGAATTTATTGGTTGAAGTAGATTCTAGTGTGTCTGGGTTTTGGAATATGGGTAGCGTTTTTATTTTAAGCACTAATCTCCAAAATTTAAAAGATTTCATTTTCAAAAAAAGAATTACTGATGCTGGGGATTTAGCTCAGCGGCACAGCACCTGCCTGGCAAGCACAAGGTCGTGAGTTCGATTCCCACTACCGGAAAAAAATGAAACAAACAAACAAAAAAAGAATTACTTTACTGTCAGTGTTGTTTGATTTTTAATCTGCAGTGGAAATCTGCTTCAATTGCAAAGTTTAGTTTTAAGGACAGATTTATTCAGGTTAATTTTGGCAGTATATAGAAAAACTTTCAGACCATCATTGATAGACATCTGAAGGAAAAACAAAATATCTGGCCCTTAGTATCTTTAAGATTCCAGATTCAAGCTTAATAATCTAGCACATTTCAAGAGATCATGTCCTGTCTTTGTGGTACCAAAAGAAAGCTCCATAAGGGTAGGTGTATTTAGTAGTTGGGCCACTTGGAAGTTTAGCAGGTCCTGTGGAAGTTGTAAATCATACATTTGGAAATGGGTCTGGGAACAAAATCTAAGTATTCCAGAGAAACTGTTGAGTTACTTCTGCTTTTCACCTACCTGTTTCACAAGCTGGTGTTTAAAATTAATCTTCCCTTCTTAAGTTGTACATAGGAAGCACAAGTAAAAACCAAAAGCATAAGCTGGTGGTGCACGCCTGTAATCCCAGCACTTGGGTTGATGAGGCAGGAGGATGGTGGCGAGTTAAAGACCAGCCTGGGCTACAAAGTGAGCTCAAGGACAGCCTGAACTGCATAGCAAGACCCTGTCTCAAAAAGATAAAAAACAAAACCAAAAGCATTATGTGGTAGAAGCTGAGTTCCCAGAGTAGAAACGTCACTTTTTAAAGCTTTCTAATTCTGGCCTCTCTTCAAATTGGATGTTTCTGTGCTCCCACAGGTTGGTATCTCGTGTGATGTTGCAGCTGATTGCCTGGGTCCTTTTATTTTCAAGAAGGGAGTGAGCGAGTTGTACCCACCTCTAATCCCAGTTCTCTGGGAGGCTAAGACAGGAGGACCACAGATTTGAGCCTTTTAAAAATTTTTGAAGGGCATTCTAAAAATTTTTGAAGGGCTGGGGATATAGCTCAGTGCAAAGGCCCTGAGTCAATCCCCAGTACTCCCCCCGCCCCCCCAAAAAATGGCTTGTTTCTCCTGCAGCTTAAAAACCTCCCCAGTGGGGTCATATTTACATCAGTCTTTTTTCCCACATTTCCCAAAGTGGCATTTTATTGAGGTATCTGCTTCCCTGGCAGATTTCTCCCAGGTCTAGAGACAACCCCCTAAATACCCACAGGCAGGGCTGTGAGGGTAGCTGAGAGCATGCTTGGCTTACCTAGAATGGTCAAGGCCGTGGGTTTGATCACGACCACCAACAACAACCATAAACAAAACAATAAAAACACAGCTTTCATGAAATTCTCAATGCTGTTGCTCCTGCCGGAGGTTTACTTGGGACCAGTCTTACTGTGTAGCTATATTTCCACATTTTTCCTTATTCCCTTTTTTTGTTGTTTTTGTACAGAGAATCGAACTCAGGACCTTGCGTTTGGCAGGCAGGCGTTTGTACCCCTGAACTATATCCCCAGTCCCTCTCTCACTTTGCATCGAATAATGAAACTCACAAGCTGTTAATGCATTTTAAGATCCTGGGTAGATAAGATACAGAAACGTCTCAACACAGCTCCAAAATAGCTTGTGAGTTTCATTGTTTTAAGAGATTTACATCTTTCCTTAGCATGACCTCAAATCTTTTTTTGTTTGGTACTGGAAATTGAACTCAGGACCTCATGCTTGCCAAGCAGGCGCTTGTGCCACTGAAGCTATATCCCCAGCCAGCATGACCTCCTATCTTAAGAAGATCGGGTCAAACTGAATCCCGTTTTAGAGAAGACAGCTGAGTTTCCTAACGCCTAAGGCCGTTTTAAAATCAGGTGCCTTTTTCCCGTCCTCAAACTGTTTCTTCTCTTAAGATAAGGCCTCATTAGTACTGAGCAAGAGACAAGGCAGCAAAATCCACCTAAAAAGCTCTTGCCCCTGTCCTCAAAACTTCACGAGGTGAGCACGAGTCCACGAGTCACAGTCTGTGCTAACCTAAGCTGCTTAGAGGGCGGCAGGCTGGTGGGGAGAAGATCCCAGCCGCCTTCCCCACCCACGTAGCATATTTCTTCGACTACTGTTTTCCTGAGAGGCTCAGCTGCTTAGCTCCACCGGAAGAGGGACTGCAAGCTACGGCGGAAGCCATTGCTGGGGATACCGAGAGCGTCCGACGACCCCCACTTGGGCGGTTGACCGGCTTCTGCAATTCCGGGCGGGGCACGCCCCTTGCACTCTGATTGGTTAGCTTGTATCTCCTCCCCCTTGGGCAGCATCGGCCTCTCTCCTTTGACCTGGATTTCAAGCCATGCGCTGGACAGTGATTGGGCAGGCTTCCCTTACGCTTAAACTCGGTTTGCCCAATGGGGAACGAGCTTCGCGAGAGCTGTCGGGAAAGGCGGCTGCCTATATAAGCGGCTTACGGGGCGTTCTTTCGCGCTTCGGGAGCGGTGCGGGTAGGGAGAGGAGGAAGTGTTGCAGGGCTGCTTGCCCTGAGACTGAATCTCAGGGACGATGGCGGAAGGCGATAATCGCAGCACCAACCTGCTGGTGAGTCCCAGCGGCCTGTCCTAAGGGAACGGAGCCGGGCCCCTAGGCTTCAGTGGGCTCAGCAGGGTGGGTCCCGCACTGGGCCAGGCCCTCCCGCGGTTTCCCGTGCAGGCGACAAGGCCTGACCCCGGGTCTTCTAAGCTTTAGGGGGTGGTCCCCCAGTCCTGTCGACCTCTGGCATACAGTGACGGGGGTGCACGAAGGTGCAAGGAGGGTGCGTGACTAGTCAGAAAACGGATTGAGGAGAAAGTGGGAGGACGGGGACTGTGGCAAGAAAGAACCCGGGGTGCAGCTGGGGCAGAGGCTGGCGAGGGGACGGACCAGCGCTTTCTGGCCCAAGGCCAAGCCATATATGCAGGTTGCCCCGTCTTTAATTTTAACCTGATGTGCTTTCGTTGTTTACCCCCCTAACACATGGGCAGAGGTGGAGGATGGAACGACTGCTACGGGGAAGTTGTTAGAGCTGGAACAACTTAAAAGGAAGGGAAGCTTCGAGCTTATTTCAGGGAACTGGACGTGGGGTTCAGGCGAAAAGACAATAGGAGGATCTAGCTTCGGCTGGAATGTGGATGGGGGTTGGTCACAGGAGGACTGGAGACAATTTTGGAGTACTTAAAAGCAGGGATGCAAAGGAACTGCACGAGTTAGTGTCATAGGCAGACAAATTTAATTCATTATGACTTTAACTGCACCACTTAGGCAAAAACAAGAGATACTCTTGTATTTTCACTATTACGAATCTCCAGAAGGCAAGCTGCACACTAGAAATGAAAAGAAGCAGGGCGTGGGGGTACATACCCAGTAATCCCAGCACTCGTGAGGCTGAGGCAGGAGGATCCCCCCGAGTTTGAGGCCAGCCTGTGCTATAAAGTGAGTTCAAGACCAGCCTGAATTGCACAGCAAAACCCTGTCTCAAAAAGAAAGAAAGAAAGAAAAGAAACAATTTAATTTTTAGCTTTTGCACTTTCAAGATCCCAGATGCTGGCGAATTAAGTGACTACAGAGCAGTGTTGATTGTGCGTGATTTTCACTTTCATTGCTTTTAAAAAATGCATGGCTTGTCTCCTTACACACACACACACACACACACACACACACACACACACGTACTCCCATCCCTTTATCATTAGCCACCAGCATGGCTCCTTTTAAGAGGATTAATTAAGGCACAAATTGCCCAACTTCTATTCAAACTACAGATCCTGGTACAGAGCTTATTCCCAACTCAGCTGTTCTTTTCAGCAAAAACTATAAGGAGAACAAGGCTTTTGTGGGTCCAGTTTCCTCATCTATATAAGGGATAGTAACACCACCTTCCTTTTAGAGTTTTTGGGAGGATTAATTGAAATATAAGCCTATGTTAAATGCTTAAGGTTTCCACCACATAGTAATTTCTTATTTAACTGGTATTAAGCATGACATATAAAGTCAGAAATACTGGAGTCACCTTAGTGATCACTGTGGCACAGGTACAATCTTTAAGACTAATTGGCATTATCCTATCATTTGCATCTTTCCAAAGTGACAGATTGCTTGTTTAAATTTTTTTTCTTCCTTTACTAAAATCAGCTTTAGGGCTTTTGCCACATTAGCTCATCCTAGACTTTGCCTTTTGGCTGACTGTCATATTTACAGAGAAATTTGATGTCTAACCAGAATGTCTTCATGAGTGATAGGAAACATGGTTTTGTGATATACTAAGCTTAAAATGCCTATGTAATTTAGCTAAAGTAGTTTTCCTTACTTGTGCAATGAATGCCAACATCTAAGTGATTCCATTACACAAAGAGCTGTTTTAGAGACTGAATGCTGTTAAGGGAAAGGCTTTCCTAATGGATTTAGAAGCAAGGATTTCAATCAATAAAATGACAAAAACACATCAATTTTAAGCCATCTGAAATGAATAAACTTTATTAATACTCTGGGCATTGTCACGTGACTATGCATAACTTTGGGGAAATTAGTTTACTCATTTTGAAATTAAAGAACGTGAGCTCAAAATGATTGTTATACTTATGTTGTGGATTTCTGTAAGGATTGTCACATGGATGTAAAGAGTAGCCAAGAGGGCTGGGGGTATAGCTCAGTGGCATAGTGCCTACCTGGCAAGTGCATGATGTTTGATTCCTGGTCCCCCACCCCTCCCTGCAAAAAAAGAGTAGCCCAGTGCTTGGATTGGGGAAGGTGACATTAAAGAATGGGTGTTTTCCCACCATTGGTTTCCATTTTTGGTACCAAGGTTGCAGGGCATTTCCCCCCGCCACCCCCAAGAACTAGCCAGTTAAAATAGCGACTTTTTTGTTGTTCTTTTGAGACAGAGTCTCGCTATGTAGTTCAAGTTGGGCTTGAACTCATTACGTAGCCCCCGACTGGCCTTGAAGTTTCAAGGACCTTCCTGCCTCAGCCTCCCAAGTGCTGAGGTGATAGGTATGCAACACCAGCCCAGCAAGATGGCAATTTGATTGAAGTCTTTTATATATTTGGTGCCATAGGAAAATTTAACTCTCTGAGAACCATAGAAGTGTTGAGAGTTGTAAAATGATCACTATAAATGTTGATGGTGCATAGGCTGTGGAGACTGCAAGTCTGGAAGAGCAGCTGCAAGGATGGGGAGAAGTGATGCTGGTGGCCGATAAAGTCCTCAGATGGGAGAAGGCCTGGTTCCCACCTGCCATCGTGGGTGTGGTTTCGCTGGTGTTTCTGTAAGTGTGCTATTACATTACTAAGGTTGTTCGTGTTTGTTATTAATAAAGGATCAGGTAGTATATAGCCTTTGTTTATAGAAGCTTTGTAGTGCATAATCGGTAAAAAAGACCTTTTTAAAATATATATATATAAGCTCACTTATTTTCCAGAATTTGTAGTACTTATGTAAACTTGATAGCCTGATCAGTGGCTTGCAAACTTTACACTCGTCAGTTATTGAGGAAGGATTCCCAAAGAGCTTTTGACTGTTGACATTTACATTAACAAGTGAAGCTATGATGTTAGCGTGTCCTGGAGACGGGAAAACCACTTGTGAGAAAATAGACCACCGTGAATACATGTATGGAAACCTGTGCACTGGGTGAATAAACATACTCAGCTAGGAATAATGATGTGTGTTTTTCTAACCTTGATTAATTCCTTTTTTTTTTTTTCAAACAGGATTATCTATTATCTAGATCCATCTGTTCTGTCGGGCGTTTCCTGTTTTGTTATGTTTTTGTGCTTGGCTGATTACCTTGTTCCTATTCTAGCGCCTAGAATTTTTGGCTCCAATAAATGGTAGGTGGCATAATGACTTGGCAGTCCAATTTCTGAGAAGTTGCTGAAGCTGGTGGTTGTGATGACTATGCTGTAATTGCAGACAGTTCTCTAACTAGCAGATACCTAGAGTTAAGATTTATTGACTTCATGTAAATAATTTCTTAGGTAGTTTCAGGTATAAATCATGAAGTTCCAGTACTTATATCTCCATAGTACTTTTTATGGTCAACCATTTATTTTGACTTTTTTTTTTTTTAGACTTTTTGTTGAAGTGAGTATTTTTTAATGGTAATGTTTTAACAAGGATTGGAGAACTCATAGCTAGCTCTCTAAAGAAGTTGTACATTGACATTTTTACATTGATAATTTAAAGTTGCACAGTATTAATTTTATAAATTATTTTTTAAGCATACAAAAACCACTAGTGCTACATTTTTATCCACATTCCTTTTGCAAGTTTTGTCTGCTTATTTTAGGCACTGTTCTAGTGGAGCTGTGAAATATTGTGCCTTTTAAAGTTGATCTTATGGGCTGGGGATTTAGCTCAGCGGCAAAAAGTGCCTGCCTGGCAAGTGCAAGGTCGTGAGTTCGGTTCCTGGTACCGGAGAAAAACCAAAAAAAAAATAAATAAATAAAAATAAAGTTGATCTTGTATTTAAGACTGAGATGTTGGGACATTGAAGCAGTAGGAAAGTGGCAGTTAGCCAATTGCATGCTAGGTACCTCAGAATGGATTTAAGCTGTGTGTATATAAATTGTGCTGTTCATTTCATTTATGTCATTCTTTGGTTGCTTTTGAATTCCAAAGTTTATAGTTAAATGACTAAGTATTTTATTGAAACTTTTAACTTACCTCTAGAATGTTGAGTTTCCCACCTTTAATCCAAATAATGAGCTAAACAAGATGTTTGAACATATTTTTTCCTCTCAGCTGCTTTTTCCTCCTTGTTTATTTTAAGTTGATAGATTTTCTACTTACGTCTTAGTATTTATTTATTTACTTCAGCAGTACTGGGGTTTGAACCCAGGACCTCACACATGCTAGGCAAGTGCTATACCACTGAGTCACACTCTCAACACGGTAACCGTTGTTTTTTCTATCCAGATGATAGCAAATTATAAAATCTGTAAAAATGAGAATTTTTTTTTTTGTACTGGGAATTGAACTCAGTACCTTGCGCTTGCCAGGCAGGCGCTTGTGGCACTGAGCTATATCCCCAGCCCCCAAAATGAGAACTTTAAAGGTGTACTTTATGGATCCTTAAAAGGAAATTCACATATTTTGAGGGAGTATACTTAAACTGTGGTGTAGGTAAGCATGTTTCTTGAAAGATGTTTTCCTCATAAAATGGATTAGTATTAGGAACTCTCTTCTGAATTGCTTTTACTTGCAGTAATGAATTAATACTGTTATTTGTGGGGACAAGTTTGGGACCATGCAGTAGATACAGCCAGTTATACAAAGGGAAGCAACCACTGACCTTGACTTCAGTAGCCAGATAACATTCTAATCTGCTAATTCATAATTCCTACAAGAAACTTCTCAGAACTGAACTCATGCTGTCATGGTAACAGCATGCAATGTAGTAATTTTTTTTTTAATATTATGGGAATGATCTTGTGGGAAAGAACACTGTTTTCACAATCTAACCTTGACCATGGTCAACACAGAAGGCCTAATGGTTTACAAGAAGTTCCACAGCTCAGCAGAAATCCTCCTACTTTATCACCACAATGAGGACTAGAGGAGAGAAGGCAGCACATTCTTCAGTGCACGTCCTACTTACAGTACCGATTGTACCTGTGTAGGAAAGACAGTACAGGGGCCTTTCTTTTTTTTAATTGGGAACAAGAAAAATTTGGCTTTCTTTTTCTTGGAAGGTCTTTTTGGATTTTTACTGCATTTTTGTTGTTGTTGTTGCTTATATTTTCCCTCACTGGTAACTAAACTTATAAATAATTGAATTTGAGCTGTTTATTGCTGCCTTGATGTCCCATGTATAAGTCCAGTTGAGGTGGTTAGCTTTGAATATAGTGCTACTGACGTTGCAGAGTGCTCAAATACAGCTGTTTAGTGGGACTTTAACGGACTACAGTGCAGGATTTATTATGATCTGAAAAGTAATACAGGTATAGAAAAATGAAATTTGTACTGATTTCTACATAGCCCATAGAAGGCATGAGTGTTTTGTTACTATCATTAACCAAATGTGACTTTAGAGTTAGAGATTAGCACTAACACTATAATGTAACTGCTTAAATTTAAGAGGATGATGTAGTTCTGTTTACTATAGAGATTTCCTTATAACAAGAGGGAAAATTCTTTTTCTAGGACCACTGAACAACAGCAAAGATTCCATGAAATTTGCAGCAATGTTGTGAAGACCAGACGCAGAGCTGTGGGCTGGTGGAAACGCCTCTTTACACTGAAGGAAGAAAAGCCGAAAATGGTATATGTTTGCTTTGACTTACATAAGTGTAAAGCACAATCTCAAAAGTTAATTTTTACTTTATTGTAACCTAATGATAGACTTTTGTTTTAATGATTATAGTTTGTGACACAGATGGTGGCACATGCCTGTAATCCCAGCACTTGGGAGGCTCAGACAGGCAGATCACCTTGAGCTCAAGGCCAGCCTAAACTACATAGCAAGACCTTGTCTCAGAAAAACACACAGGATGAAGAGAAAACAAGCAGAAATTATAGTTCAGTACTTATTTGCCATAGGTGTAACTTGTAGCTACAGTCATAAATGTTTATCTGTAGTAGACTGGGTCACTGAACATTAAAAATTACATTTTGCACTTTTTTATTCCAGTAGAGCAGAATATTTTTCTTACTAAAGTAAAACTGAAAGACATGCACTTAGAAAACATCTGTTTCTAACAGAAAACATCAGCTTCACATGAGATTACTATATGATGTTATTAATTGGAAAAATAGTATAATTTACATAATAAGGTATTTAATCTACAAACTCACAGTAATTGTAGGAGGAAATGTATTCTGAGTCCACAAAGTAGATCACCTGGAGTTTTCTATAGGTTTTGTAGAATATATAGATTTTGAAATTTAAGTATTTTTAAGAAAGAGTGGTAAGAAAAGCTAACACTGTTTTTCCAAACTTTGAAACAAATTTTCTCAACTGACAGAGTTACATGTGATTATGGTGTATGCGATGTTTTGATAGATGTACTAATTGGGACAGTGAAACAAACTGCTGAAGTCACACTTTTCAGCCTGTTTCTAGGAGTGGTTATATTCTTGTTGTTTTCATTGTTAGTACTTCGTGACCATGATCATTTCTCTTGCTGCTGTTGCTTGGGTGGGACAGCAAGTCCATAACCTGCTTCTCACCTGCCTGATAGGTAAGTCTGTGGAAGAACTACAGTTGCAACCTAGCCAGTAAAATCTAACCCTAGCATAGGCAAATATGTGAGTACTTACCAAATTCCATATACTACCCAAGGAACTTTGGGAATATAGAAAGGTGACAAACACTCAGGTCATTGTTTTCAGGGAGTTTACAGTCTTATGGCAAGTGAAGACAAAAAAACCCATAATAACCAAGTAGAAAGTACAGTAACACCTTAGTTTGTGAACATAAGTTGTACCAGAAACATGCTTGTAATCCAGAGCACTTGTATCTCAAACAGATTTCCCCATAAGAAATAATGGAAACTTAGATGATTCGTTCCACAACCCGAAAATAGTCATATGAAAATGATTATGATACTGTTAATATACAAAATAATAAAGAAAATATAAAGAAAAACAAATTAACTTGCAGTTACCTTTGAAAATCTTTCTGGCTGGTATGAGAGAGACAAGAGAGAGGAAGATTATTTTGTAGGACAACTTTCACTGTCATTAACGAAATCACTGCTATCTATTGGCTCAGTGGAATTTTTCTCATGAAACTTTTTTTTTTTTTTTTTTTGGTACCGGGAATTGAACTCACGACCTCAAGCTTGCCAGGCAGGCGCTGTGCCGCTGAGCTCTACCCCTGGCCCTTTTTCATGAAACTTTAACAAGGACTGTATCCAATGACATTTGCTTTTTTGCTCCCTTTTGATTTCGCAGAAATGTGACATTGCATTGTCATTAAACAGATTCATCACTCGCACTGCTACAGCCTTAGACTGGTGGTGCTGTTTTACAAATTTTGCACTGTTTCTCACATTTTACATGTCTCCCTGATTGCATTTGAAATGAGGGATTCTTTTGCCTTTTTTTTCCCCTCCTTTTCACTAACCTCTTGCTGCTAGGAGACCATCACCCATAATCCTGCAGGGGAGGGGTACTGGCTCAGTCGTGGTCATGTGACATTTGGCATCACAACTACTCTTATTGGAAGACCTCAATTGCTTATCAAGCTAAAATTTATTAGAAATATTTACTCATCTTATGGAATACTTGCAGAACAAGTTACTTGCAATCCAAGGTTTTACTATCATTTGCAGGTGGTAAAAATAAGCAGTGACTATTATATGAGGTTGGGAGGGCATGACAGCAAAACTTTGTGGAAGTCCAATGAAAGTAATGGATTCTCTATTACTTCCTCCCATTAGAGTTCTAATAGTCTAGGAATCTACCTTCTTTAAAATGTGATAATCTTTAGCAGGTTGCTTTCTCTGAGAGACTGAGGCAGGAGGATTGTGAATTTGAGCCCTGCTTGGGCAACTTAACAGTTAAGCGAGACCCTATCTCAAAAAATGCTGGGGAGGTAGCTCATGCACAGACCCTGGGTTCAATCCGCAGTATTGAAAAAAAGTTGCTCTCTCCCTAATTTTGTTTGTTTATTTATTTTAAGTGACTTTCTTACTGTTGCTTCCTGGACTGAACCAACACGGAATCATTTCGAAGTACATTGGAATGGCCAAAAGGGAGATAAACAAGCTTCTGAAACAAAAAGAAAAGAAAAATGAATAATACATCTGCTTTATTCATTGTGGTCAGTGGAGTATGCATTGCCGCTGAGATAGTTTGTACCGTGCTGTGTGGATACTGAAATGCTACATAAGTAGCTCTTTGCTTTCCCTCACTCTGCCCTTAGTAGAAGTTCACACTTGCCAGTCAGGTTTTGTGCATAGTGTCCTTGTGTCAGTTGTAGCTGGGTGCATTCTCATCAGTTGGCCTTCAGTGGACAACTCACTAGTGAGTAAGGCTTGTTTTGATTTTTCTCACCCAGTGTTAACTTTTTGACAACTTCCTTTAAAATAATACAGTGGTGAACTTTACTCTTTAGTACAGTTAATAGTGACAATAATTGTGTGGATTGATGTTTGTTTTAGCTAGGTACAAGGTAGTGTTCTGTAGCTACAGGAAGCTGGTTTTACTGTCCACTTCCACAGTCTGCTTAAAAAACTGTCTGGCTTCATGAATGTAGAGACCAAATTTACCAGACCTATTGAACACACCAGGAGTCATTCCTCACACTGTTTCTTCACCATCAGAGAACAATCCCTATGGAACAAAATGAAACTGATTCCACACCCTAGTATGTGTAGGTTTCTCCCTTTTGCGGAACTTAGTGATTTCTAGGTAGTACTGATCCTTTCTCTTATATAGGGGAATCTGACAGCTATAGAGCTCCTGTTCCCCTGCCCTACTTCATTAGTGAATCCTTAAAGGGTTTTTCATAGCAGATTTCCAAAAGAGTGTCTTTTAGGATATTTAGTATACTTTTCATTTCAGGTTTTTACAGCATACTCAGTAGGTTAAAGTGCAAGTCTGTGACCTTTATTCCAACACCAGCCAGTAAAGGACAAAAGTTCCTATGTTTAGTCAAGATTCATTGCAGTAGAAAATAAAATTACTAATTTTTAAGATCAGAAAAAGCCTTCAACGGTGAGCCTCACAATTCTCATTGTATAGTAATACTGGCTGTATTTTGGTTGCCCTAGGTTTTGCATTGTAGTGACTACACTGGCATTTGACTCTTTTCCTCATTATTTTCCAAGGGCTGTTGGTGAGAGCAGGCTTGTGATGATAGACTGGCCTCTGGCCCACATAGATTTTCTAACTCCTTGGAAAACTCCTTATAATCATTCTTTCCTTCTTAGTAGTTAGAAACTTAGAATAACTAACATCTATAAGAATGAACCTTTGAGGGCCAAAAATGTGACATACTTGGGAACAATTCTGAAACTGCTTAACTAGCTGTAATATAGTTCTGTGGATTCACTGCACTGATGCTGTAAAACCTTGTGGTATCTCTGTCCTTACGTAAGTATTGTTTTCCCCCCTTCCAGATTGCTGTAAACGCTGGTGCCCATTGTAGTTTGTTTAATTTTTTAAAAATATTTTCATATGACTACCTTAATTTTACATGTGTTCCCTCATTGTAAATAAGCCTGTCTTATCTGGACTTTTGTGTGTGTGAATGTGTGTTCTACCAGTTAACTACTTTGGCAGTTAATCCTGTGTTATTTTTCCTTTGTTTTGTGTGAAAGGGGAAAAATAAAAGCTGGAATCTCTTTGGTGTCTCACTTTCTTTTTAACTTAGCCAATCTAATGTTTTCATGATTGAATTTATGAAGCCAATCAGTGAGCTGCCCTTTGTGAACATGACAGATCTCTACTCTTTTACCCTGTAAAAACAAAATGAAATCAAAAGTTTAAATGTATTCATTCAGCAAACACTGAGGCTTGGTGGTAGATGAAAGGAAATATAGTAAGAGGGGCAGAGATGATGAGAGGGCAGTTGGAAGAACACACAGGGAAAGGTGAGGGCTCAACAGCCTCTCCACCTGGGCACGTCTGCTCTCTGGGGCCTAACTCAGGGGTTGGTCCTGGAGAGGTGCTCAGTAAGTAATGGCTGGGTGACTCTCCTGCATTTTAAACACTTTAAGAACTCAAATTGAGGGCCAGGGATATAGCTCAGCGGTATAAGTGCCTGCCTGGCACATGCGAGGTTCTGAGTTTGATTCCCGGTACCAAAAAGAAAAAAACCTTGAATGTTTTATGTCACTGGCTATACTTGTTGGTGGGCCCTGGGAATAGATTTGGTAGTAAATTAAAGTGAGTTCCTCTACCCCAAAGAGTATGGGTCCTTTGGAACCTTCTGGGGATTTGGTGATGACCAACAACAAAGTCTCAAGGTCACCACCAGTCTCCACGACTGCCTGATGTTTTTGAAATGCCTGCCTTTAACCATGCAGCTGCGGTTACTGCTTTGCTTACATCAACCTCACCTAGCTGGCTTCTTCCCAGGCCAGCATGGGTCCTTCAGCTTGGCATCCAGGGGTTACCCTGATGCCAGTTCTGGCTACAGCAAAAGTCCATTTTCAAGGTATGCCCTGACTCTGCCGCCAGCAGAGGAAGGGTCTTACCACCCCACAGTTCACATCGGAGATCTTCTGGAATGAACTGTGCCCAGAAAAATGAAAGGATTTGGTTTTTATTTTATTCTCAGCTCATGGCCCAACTGATGAGTTTCCCTCTACATTGTAGGATTTGGGGGTTTTTAAGAGGTAACAATGCTAGCAGTTAATGTTAACCATTTTATTTTCACTCAATTCATAATCAATCCTGTTTGAAGACAGCTGGGTGCAATTTGCCTGCAACAAAAACTGCCAACTTGTGGGGTACTTTGTATACAGAGACCTCTACTCCATTTCTTTACCCTATTTTCCTATTCCAACCCAGCCATCCTGACTTCTATCCATTTCTGTATGATTCCATGCCATCCTAATGACCAATGTTAAGAGCAGCCCTCCACAAACCTAGACTATCTACAGTTCCACACACTCACTTTGGGATTAGGTAGATTTAGATCCAAATCCCTACTAAGTAATTTAATATCTTATGTAACTTTTTTTTTTTTTTTTTTGGCTTTGACTTTTTTTTGATTGTCTTTTTGAGACAGGGTCTGGCTGTGCAATTCGAGCTGACCTTGAGCTCACTTTGTAGCCCACGCTGGTCTCGAACTTGCAACGATCCTCCTGCCTCAGCCTTCCGAGAGCTGGGATTACAGGTGTGCGCCACACCCGGTTGCTTTGACTTATCAAAAAAATTTTAGTTTGGTCACTTTAAGATAGAACTTAGTTTTCTTATTTGTGACATTATAATAGAGATCTCAGTCTGTTGTGTGGGCTAATGAGTTACAGGAAGCACTTGGCAGTAGTCATAAATTGGGTAGTATCTGTGTGACAGATCAAGTAGTACTTGCTCTGGGAAAGCTCTAGTGCCCCAGAGCACTTCACATTGCCTCCCTATGTGCACACTGCTGTCACTTACTCGTTTGTGTCCTCCACTACAGTCTAAACCTCTTCAGGGTAGGAACGGGTAGTTCTGTCCTCTTAGCACCTGGTACAATACCCGGCACATGGTAGACACATTTATTAGATGAATCAATGAATCCAGTGTATAAAGAGTTAGTAGATACACTATTTTTCTATTTATGGGAAGGCTCTTACAGGAAGGTGCTTTTGTCAAATCTCTACTTCTTGCTAAGGCCCCAGTTAAGGAGCTGCACCTTCCTAGTAGAATGGGTTGTAACGGTACAGGAAGCCAGTAGGTGAAGAAAATTTTCACTTAAAAAGCCAGTGATTGGCCAGGCATGGTAGTGTATGTCTGTAATTCCAGCACTCTGGAGCCTGAGACAGAAGGATTGCTTTGAGTTCGAGGTCAGTGGGGGCTACATAGTGGATTCAAGGTCACCCTGCACTACATAATGAGATCCATAATTCAAGCCCAGGCTGAACTACATAGTGAGACCCAGTCTCAAAACAAAAAGCAGCTGAGCATGGTGGTGCATGCCTGTAATCCCAGCACTCGGGAGGCTGAGGCAGGAGGATTATTTCGAGTTTGAGGCCAGTCTGGGCTACAAAGTGAGCCCAAGGCCAGCCTGAACTGCATAGCAAGACCCTATCTCAAAAAAAAAAAAAAAAGGAAAAAATTAATTAAAAACCCAGTGGTAACTTGTAAATTGTAACCAGGGAATGCTATATGCCTGAGATATTCAAATGGGAAGCTCTGCTTTTGTGAAGGTGAGCCCATGACCTGGGAAGTGGTGGGGATGAGCATGATGGGCTGAAATGGTGTACTCAACAAGCCCTCACTGCCAGGGTCTGTGTTTGTCTCTCGTATGGATTCTCCCATTTAGCCCCCCCAATAGCAACTTCAAGTGGGTGGTGGTATCATCCCCACTTAACAGATGGGGAAACTGATTTGTCTACTCATTTATCAAATATGTGTCGAGGGCTTACTATGTGCCAGATAACTTTTCTAGAAATTGTGAGTGCAGTAGTAAATAAAATCAACTAGATCTCTGCCCTCTTGGAATTAAACAGTCCAGGGCTGGGAAACACAATAGTTAGACTTCCGATAATTCAGTGCTAGCAGGGCTGGGGTAACAGGAGGGGGCTGTGGGGGGGGGCTGTGCAGAAGGAAGAGCTGAAGAAAGACAGGGACCAAGTCTCCTGGCTAAGTGGGGAGAAGGTGCTCCAGTGAGAGGGAAAAGTGAACACAAAGGCTGAGGTGGGGCACACTTGGAGTGTCCCAAGGAAAGCAAGCCAGGGAAAGCCAGACAAGATGGCACACATCTGTCATCCCAGTTACTTGGGAGGCTGAAGCAGGAGGATTACAAGTTCTAGGGCACTCTGGCGATTTAGTAAACTGTCTCAAAAAGAGGGCTGAGGATATAGCTCAATGGTAGGGTACTTTCCTAACATGCTGGATGTTTGGGGTTCAATGTCTAGGACCACATACACAGAAAACAAGCAAACATAAAAAAATGCACAGAAAATAGCAAGCCAGGGTAGACTGTTGGGGGATGAGGCCTGATGTGCTTGTGCAAGGAGGAAGGTGAGCACATCAGCGTTCCTAAGAAACCTGGGTTTCACTGGGAAGCCCTTGGAGAGTGCATGACCTGACTTCAGTTTTTAAAAGGTCCTACTGGCTGCTCTGTGGGAAAGACAAGAGTAGGGTTCTGAAGGGGAAGTTAAGTGTGGAAACTGTGATATGGAGCTTGCTGCAAATATTTCAGAGCTTAGGTTATTTGCCTCAGGTCACTTAGTTCCACAGAGGGCAGAGTCAGAAATCACTGTCTCAGGTGAGCAGACCCTGGGGAAACAGGAGGGGCTGTACCCACAACTCCATAACTTTTCCCTGGCCCCTCAAAAATATGTGCTTCTACTATGTATGCACCAAACCTTGTACAAGCCCTTTGACACTATTACCACATCTGGCTGTGGCAAGAACCTTTTAAGAGACAAGGATTAGTACCCCAGCCTACACCTGGTTAAGTTCAGAGATGGTAATGACTAACCTACATTGGTTCTTGCCCGGGGGCACAAAATAGACAAAAGCCACAGGCTCAGAATCCCTTGCTTATTTTGAAACATTTGTGGCTTTCTTCCAAATGTGTGTCCTGGAACTGGGAAAAAAAAAAATCTGGATAGCCAATCAACATTTATAAATTAAGAGTGATTTAAAGAGATACTACGAGGCTGGGCATTGTGGCGCACACCTCTGGAAGCTGAGACAGGAAGATTGTTGCCAGATAGAGATCAGCCTGGGCTACAAAATAAGCTCAAGGCCAGCCTGAACTTCATAGCGAGACCCTGTCTCAAAAGACCAAAAACAAAAAAGGCGGGCTGGGGATATAACCCAGTGGCACAGCGCCTGCCTGGCAAGCACAAGGTCCTGAGTTCAATTCCTGGTACCAAAAAAAAAAAAAAAAAAAAAAAAAAGAAAGCGACTGTAAAGAGATACTACCAATTTAAAAACATTTTAAACTACTTTGGAAAAATCAGAGTCCACCAAAAAAACGTATACACACATCAGGAAAAAAAACTTGTTTAAATATTTTATACAAGTACTAAATTTATTGAGATAGGAGATTAACACAAGTTACCTATGGCCTCCACAAGAGCTGGTCAAAGTGGTGGCCTTTAACTTCCAGACATTTATTAGTATGATGAACTGCTGCGTGGGTAACCTTGGTCACTAAGATCGCTGCACCTGCGTTTTCAGGTTCTTCTCCAAGGGCCGGCAGGCTAGTGGGTTTTCTGCGATATACGACATCCTCCAGGGGCCCCACACGAGGGTAACAGCATCTGTTGAAAAAATATCATACTGTTTTTGTTTTCCTGAAGTGTGTATACTTTTTTTTTTTTTTTTTTTGGCGGACTCTGTATATACCTACGTCTCAAAAACACCAAAAATGTCTACGAGGCCGTGAGCGGTGTGAACCTGTAAACCAGTTCCTCCTGAGCCTGACAAGAATACAGAGGCAAGCTGGAGCTCAGCCTGGGCTACTTAGCGAGACCATGTCTCAAAGTAAAATAATACAAAGAGCTGGGGATTTAGTTCACCTCAGCGCCCCTCCCCGGCTTCAATCCTCTACCAGGTTTTGAAAATAAAAATAAAAGGAAGTTTCCATCCCAATTCCAAACGCCGCCCAGAGGCATTGACCGACTACTGCAGGTCCTTCCAGAGACACTATAAATACGCAAGTAGCAAAATTTATTCTAAATGGTACTGAATTGTTATTGCAATGAAAATTAGCAAATATCTAGGACCTTGTTGTCGGTTTTGTATTTTTACAGATGAAGTGCCAAGAAGTAGTCGAAACTTTATGCTTTACTTGGATCTCCTCTAGGACTTACCTTGGAAGGTTGATTCTTTCGGCTGTCAACTATCAATCCCTGAGGAGGCTCCGCCCCTACGTTCGCGTACTTCTACAAGCAGGTCACTAAGTATTTTTTCCGTTACTTTGAAAATCTCGCGATGGCCCGCCTATTTCCCATAACTCTGTGCGCTCGCCCCTCCCGTCCTCTTTCCGCCATCTTTCCGTGCCGGTGAGTGACTCTCTGTTGGCTCCGATTTAATCCGTCGCCTATCAGCGCCATCCCACAGTGTGAGGCTTGGCTCGGGTCGCCGGGAGGACCCTGGGACCCTCCTGTGCCGGGGGTTCTGGCTTTGCGGCGCCTGGGTAGGCTCAGAGGAGAACGATCCCCGGGCGCCCCACGCTCTCCCCTGGCCGACCGGCTCTAGGGATGCAGGCCGCAGCGCTGGCGGGATGTGGTGCTTCTGGCCGCCCGCAGAGGCTGTAGCCCTCGCAGCCCCGCCTCGACCGGCTGTGTCTGGATCTCCCTTTAGCGGCTAAGGTAGCGTCTCGGTTCTAGCCGAGTCTGGAATAGTGGCCGGGATGGGACGTACATGAAGCTTCTTAACTTCCTCGAGCTGGGAGCTTGGGAGGCTGAGGCCGCCGAGCCGGGAAAACTTCGCCCTACCTGAGCGGGCAGTTTGCCGAGAACTCACCTAGCTCTTCGGGATTCCTGGTTTTTCCCCCTCAAGTTGTTCCCTAAGTTCTGTGGAACTTAGAGCAGTTCTGCTCTTCCTGGTGCTTGAAACATGATTTGGCCTTAGTTTTTAGGCTGTTTAAACTTAGTGTATCTTGCAGTTCATGACCCTTGGAAGAGTCCAGTAGGGTGGCGGGGAGAGGGCATGTTTGTTTTCGACGCAGACCCGTATTGTTGGACGTTAGTTGTTAGGTGAAAGTAAAACAGCGTTTTTAGGGTATTAGAACACGGTTGAAAGTGAATTGACTTGAGAATTGGAAGAGCGGGTGTTGCTGATTTTTAAAAACTGGGGAAGCGTTGCAGTTGATTCTCAAGTTCTGTTCTCAGTAACTGGGTATAGCTGGTATTTTCGTTTGCGTAGGTGACAGTTACTGCCAGTTTTGAGGCTTTTTTAGATGTTTTTCCCTGTATCCTAACTCTAGCCATTCGTATGCTGCAGGATCAGTAGTCTATGAATGAATTTAGTGTCTGACATTCCTGCTAGCTTGTTTTCAACAACCATAGTAAATAGAATTTTGCTGGATGCTGGTAATGTTTGTTCAGAAAACATGGTGGGAATAGGAAGGAAGGCCTACATTCAAAATCGTAGGACTGATTGAGTATTCAGTATAGTTGACAATGCCAATAAAACCTGTTTTGTCTTCCCGAACAGCCATAATGGTGCGCATGAATGTCCTGGCTGATGCTCTCAAGAGCATCAACAATGCCGAAAAGAGAGGCAAACGCCAGGTCCTTATTAGGCCGTGCTCCAAAGTCATCGTCCGGTTTTTAACTGTGATGATGAAGCATGGTAAGTGTGTTGCTGTGTTTTATGTGTTGATGCCGAGTTTTAAAGGAATCAGTTCTGTTCCTGAGAAGCGAAGTGTCAGTTGTACCTGGGAAGTAATACAGTTAAGTTGGGAATCTGTGGAGGAGGGCCATAGTTTTGTTCGGATGACAGGGCTAAAGACCACTAAACGGGATAGGATTGTTGAAAAAAGCAGCTTGTCTGGTTGCTTAATGGCAAGTCTTAACAAGGCAGGGCTCCTGGGCTACTCAAGACTTCCTATTGGTCTGTGTCTTTGACACAAAGTAGCCTTTTGGGGTTAGAAGTGGTGAAGGGACAGGGGGAAAATAATACTGTTCAGAATAGGCGGGTGGATAGTTTAAATGTTGCTCACAAAGTTTTATATTAATACAGGGTTGTGAAAGTTACTTCTGATACAGAGTAATGGTTAAACTGCTGGAGGTGATGTGAAGGAGAAAACTAGTAGGCAAAAGCAGAAATACTAATGGATCAGGCCTCAGATGCCTGTCTTCAATTTGATACAGATAGTTCTGTTTTTGTAGGTTACATTGGCGAATTTGAAATCATTGATGATCACAGAGCTGGAAAAATTGTTGTGAACCTCACAGGCAGGTTAAACAAGGTAAGGATTGTTTTATGCATTTTAGAGTCTTAATAATTCTTTAACATTGTATGTAGTTGTTTTTGTAAATACCTAGTAGAGGTGCACTGCTCTTTTCATACCAAATTTAATTTCATATATTCACCAAGGTTGTTGGTGCTGGATTTTTGTCAGTTTGGAGTATTAGCTGTTAGAAAGGGAGATGTGGGGTAGCGAAACCAATGCTGGTGATAGATGCTTAAGTATTTGAATCTAAGACGTTACACTGTCTACTTCAGTGCCTTGAACTTCAAGGGCTCAAGGCCACAAAGCTACTGAGTGGCTTATTTTGGTGTTGGTGATGTGTGTTTTTGATGCTGGTAATGGGGTTCTCTAAGTACCAGTATTACTTGCTCTGTTTTGTTTGCATAGACTTCCTGTCTTTTTGAGAACTTAGACTGCCTTTTTCAGTTTGGTCGCAAAGTCTTTTATGGTCATATGCATGATGTTTAGCTGTATGTGTCCTCTGAGGTACATTGTATATAATATATCACACCAACCAAATGTAACCCTGCTTTTCATGGGCACTAAAATTTCACTGCAGATAAAAATGGCAGTGGAGCTCTAGATACAAGTAGTGGCAGAATTAAAATACTGTGTTTTCTTTTAATGTTCAATTTAGAATGACAGAAAACATGAAGCATGGTATTTTGTTTCTGGTTTTGGGTTTTTTAGGGTCTCCTTATGCAGTTTAGGCTGATCTCAAACTCTGGGCAGTCCTCTTGCCTCAGCCTCCCAAGTGTTGGGATTACGGGTGTATGCCCCTATAGCTGGCCCAAGTATGTTTTTGAGAGTTCTCAGGTGTTTACTGTTAAAATATTACAGCTTTGATGTTTTCCAAGACTTTGAGATACCTAGTCCAACATGGATGTGGTGAAGACAGACTAGGAAGTGAGTTGCCCAAAGTCATGTTTAATGCAGTGGGTGGGTGCTAAGTTTATTTTAAGTTTCTCTCAACTTTACTTACATGTCGCCTTCAAGTAAGAGATGGGCCTACCCTTACCCTGGGAATGTGGTAACTGAGTTTTAGAGAGTAGATGGTGTTACAGATGTATTAAAAGTCCTGGCCTTGATCATACTATTAAGATTGCCCTGGAGCCAGACGTGGTGGTACCTACTTAGAAGCCAACATTCTGGCAGGCCGAGGCAGGAGAGCTGCAGAACTAGGGGTATCACTGGGGTACAACACCCTTGAATTTAGTAATCCCTAGTAACAAAAATAAAAGAGAAAATCTGAGCAGAATAAGGAGCAATTTGGCAGTCCACCCCTTACACCCTTTGGAGGATTGAACCTGAGGCCATCACACTGAGCTGTGTTCCATCCCCAATCGAGTTTTTATGTGTGCCAGTTTTTGTAAGTAGAGCCCATCTGTGAGGTGGTCTTACCTTAGTAGATGTTTGAAAATTTATTGCTTTAGTATTTCCATGTAGTTGAGTGACAGATGCTCTTAAGACAGCTCTTGATTTGGTGGGTGTTAAAAGTTTGGCTGTCCTCTTACTTGGGTTGGTCTCAGCTCCTTGCTTGTCATTGCTCTTGGACAGCCAGCCCTCCGGCCCTTGGGGTGCATGTTAGTGATCTAGCAGTGACTAGTCAGCGTTATGAGTGCGGTCTTACGTTGATTAGTTTTTCTGTTAACTGGTAAGGTGAAACTTTTAATTTTTTGTTTCTTTACAGTGTGGTGTGATCAGTCCCAGGTTTGACGTGCAGCTGAAAGACCTGGAAAAATGGCAGAATAACCTGCTCCCATCCCGTCAGTTTGGGTGAGTTGGGTTTCCTCAGTTAAAAAATACTAATGCTTAGAATTGTTGTAGTGTGTTTTTAACTTCAGGTAAGATTTCATTTTCTTGTTATTACAGTGGTACGTAAGTTCATGAACACTTCTGTTCGCAAATTTCATGTTGGATAATAAATACAGATGTGGCCATCTTCCCCAAAATCCAAAATAAATATCCACTTGTATTTTGTTTCCCTCATATCAGTTGTTACCGCATTTTCTGTGTTAGGGTTCAGGTCTGAGAGGCACATGAGTGCTTTGACTGGGGTTAGCAGAGTTGTTTGCTTTCCTGTCTTCTCACTACAGGTGGCATAGTTCATATTTTATGTTCCTGCATGGCCTGAATCACTTCTGAGCTGTAGACGAGGGAAAGTCCCTCCTGTGTTCAAATCCTTGTTTGCCTCCTTTGGAGCCAAAGGTGTTCCCTGCCTTTGTTTCTGGTTAAACAATTGGTTCTCAGTGTCAGCAGAGATCAGGGTTGAGTGTGGCTGGGGTTTGTGCACAGTTGACCCAGGTAATCGCCCGCTTAGGTAGGGAAACTTCATTGCCTGTGTCCCTCACAAAACACATAGCCCCTAGTAAGGATAGTATTTCCTGCAGCAGAGAAGGCAGTTTATATTGAACTGTGCAACTCACTAGCATGTTTTTTTTCTACTCCATAGTTTCATTGTATTGACAACCTCAGCTGGCATCATGGACCATGAAGAAGCGCGACGAAAACACACAGGAGGGAAAATCCTGGGATTCTTTTTCTAGGGATGTAAAACATACAAATAAAATGCCTCAGCGGACTCTGGTGCTTCCACTTGATCGTTTTGAGCCTTTGTAGCCATGTAGGAAGAGTGTCTGTGGCGATGTACAGCTGTTGTATTAATTGGTGAATGCTTTTGCTATGCTGTGAACAAGTCCTTTGATTTTATGTATGTATACCATCACCTGTGTCATGGTGTACCAGAAGATGGTACTGTTCCTGGATGGTGTTGTCTGTTCCTGGGTGGTTGAATCTGGGTTTGGGCTCATGTTCTGGAGTCTTTAATTATATACGCCGAAAGGGCTGGTCCTTTCAAGAGTCCGTTCCAGGA